ACTAGCAACCTTGCAGTCACTATGTGACTGCCGTGACTTGTGGACTAATTAATAAAATTTTGGTTGCTTAAAAAATGACTTTTGTTAAATGGCACTGTACTTTCTTAAATATTAACTTTTTTAAAGGTATAAGCTCATCCCGATGTTACACTTATCAAGAGCTTTCATTTGAGTACCCACATGCATTTTTATATATTTTTCATATATACATATATATGATATATATAAATATATGCAAAATTGATGTGGGTACTCAAATGAAAGCTCTTGATGAGTGCAATGTTGAAATGAGCTTATATCTTTAAAAATATCAATAGTTAAGGTATGATATTGTATCTTGTCAACTAATGGTATTTATAATAGATATAAACTCATTCCGAGTTATATATATATATATATATATGAAATATATGAAAAATTGATGTGGGTACTCAAATGAAAGGTCTTGATGAGTATAACATCGGGATGAGCTTATATCTTTAAAAATATCAATAATTCACAAGATACAAGGTCATTTCTTAATTATGCATCTAGAGAGTATTTTTGAACGCAGCCTAAATAATCATCATAAATTGACAGTGAGAATTCTTATTCTCCTAATAATATAGACTACAAAAATTTTAAAGCAAAAATTTATTAATAAATTAATAAAATAAAATTTTGGATAACAATAACAATAATAATAGTGTTTACCTTTGCGTGCTTAATTTCCAATTCAGTTAATTCAATTAAATTCTTTCTAAAAGCAGCTATCCGCCGAGTTTTGAAGTCTGTTAACTCTGTAATTAAAATAATTATCATTAATATAATTTTGATCAACCCCAATTAATCTCATAATAAATAATTAGTTAATTACTGTTTATAAAACATTACCTTCTTTTCCTTTGTCCGACATTTGTTCGAATTTTTCGCAAGCTTCAGTTTGTGCTTTTTCAGCCTACATAAATATAATCCTTATTAAACAAACATTTTTTACTTTATAAACAATTTGTTAATGTAATGTTCATGCCAAAAAAAAAAAAACAAAAACTAAAGCTGTTAAATGACAATGATATGTTATCCAGATTATGATGAATGATTAATGGATACTTAGAATGCATAGAAAGCAATAATAAAAAAAAAAATATATATATATTTAATCACGATGCATTAGACTTATAGTAAGTACACACACCTCAGCAACCTCCAGTGCCTGAAGGAATTCAGGAAAAATTAATTATTAATAAATTTCAGTATAATAATTACTTACTAACCCTTTTAATAAATATTTATCTACTAAATAATTCATGAGTTTTACCATTTTACCCTGTTAAGCGAGTGTAGATGCTATTAATGTATCGAGAGTGTTATAAAAACCCCATGCACTGGTTATTAATTTTATACAGCTTGGAAAATTCTTTATTTTTATTATTAATCACTCTAATGGACGTAAAGTATAAATATGTATTAAATAAAAGTTTAATAAAAAAATTCTTACCGCATGAACATCTTTGTTACGAGCACGGGCTTTTTCTAATGTACGATTAGCAGTTTCGTAAGCGTGTAAAGCCTTCAATCGTCTGAAAAGCAGACGCTTCGCAGCAGCAGTATCTCTCATGTAATATCTCAGCGTATCTGATAGCTTGAGATCTTCATCGGAAGCAACTCTGCCCTCAACTTTCTGTAGAAATATTTAAAATTGATAAATAAATATTCCATTAAATTAATTATTAATAGACTAGCGACCTTGCAGTCACTTGACTGCCGTGACTTGTGAATTATAAATAAATAAAAATTTGCTATTAAATAATTAGTTTTGTTAAATTTCACTGTACTTTGTTAACTATTGATTTTTTTAAAGATATAAGCTCATCTTGATGTTACACTCATCAAGAGCTTTCATTTGAGTACCCACATGCATTTTTGATATATTTTTCATATATTTATATATATAATATATATAAATATATAAAATATATGAAAAAATGATGTGGGTACTCAAATAAAAGGTCTCGATGAGTATAATGTCGGAATGAGCTTATATCTTTAAAAATGTCAATATATCACAAGATATTTGCTAAATTAAACTGTACTTTCTTAACTATTGACTTTTTTAAAGATATAAGCTCATTCCGACATTA